ATGTAAGTTTTCTGTCGGCAGTCAAAGCCTTAAGTACCACATACATTTCTGCACTACCCAAAAGATGACTGGCAGAGAATGCTGTTAGCATTAAGTCCTCCTTACGCAATACGGTAGTTGACAACTAGTCAAATTCAATACTTTTATCGAAACGTCAAAAACGATACTGTTCTATGAATTTCGGACGAAATACCATCTTATGACGTCATCATATTTTCGCGTCAAATACCACACTTATATCTAAAAGAAATGCTAGAATAAATCGAAAATTAAGTATATCGGCAAATCAATGAAAAAGTGTAACTATTTTTCAATATTTAACTGGACTGAAAAGTGAAAGTCATTTATTTTTTACCCTGGAAACGATCCAATTGTGTAAAACTTAAATAAAAAAATAAATATTAGGCGATTTGTTTGTTTATATAAATAACTGCGGATCGAAGTGTTTTTAGTTCAAAAATAGCTTACAAAAAGAAAAAAATAATAAAAATACATCATCATCATTTTTCAATCTCAAAAACATAGTTATGACGTCATATTATTCACTTTGCGGCGAATATTACACTCGGCAAATGAAACTATACAAAACCAATCTATCTTGATCTCGCTTTGTATAAACATTCCGAATATACGACGGTCAGTTTATACTGGTTATCTTAGCTATATACTAATCCAGTATATCTTGGCCTCGCGTTGTATGACCTTTCCGAACATTCGACAGTCATTTTATACTGGTTGTATAGGTTGATAAGTAGATTTGTGTACATTTAATTCTTACAAATAGGTAAACTAGAAAATTAAATATCAATAAATCAAAAAATCAATTCGTTATAAAAGCTATTAATCATATTTTTTTAACATTTCATTATTTTTAAAACTCGACTTAATTCATTTTCATCTCAATCTCAATACAAACGCAATCCCAATTTTAGAAAATATCTAAATAAATTGCCTATAACTATCATGAAACCAATTTTTACTTTTTTATGTAAAAGTATCAATATAAAATAAAGAAAATGTATTCAGAACTCATAGCAGACTATCATTAAAACAAACGAATAAACGAAGATTATTATTTAAAAACATCTCATAATATTGAAAACCACAAACAATTCATTCTAAATCAACAGTAACAATAATATGTACCAAATATCAAATCGATCTGTCGTCAGGAAGGAGGAAAAATTCCAAATTACACATTAATATAACAAACAAATAGGACACCTCAATAAAACCGTTTTTAAATACGGAATCACAAAAATACCGCTTAAAATGTGTCTAACTTATAATCGTTAACACATCAGCGACGGGCTTCATCATCGTGTAATTTATAAAAACAATATTTAATCACCATAATATAAAATAAAACGAAATTCAAGACCCGGTATTTCTTACTATGTAATATTTCTTTGAAAACTTCCAATGAACAAAACACGACACGCCATTACAATATTAAATACGCTCTAAATGTGTTCCATTTTATTACATCTTTGCAAAATATGTCAAAACTTCACCTTTAGTAGACAATACCACAGATAAAATAGCTTGTTGAGTGTGGCCGCCAGTTGCCCGCGAGCCGTACTACGGGTAGGTCGCGCCGCGCCGATTTTAATCGATCGGCATCACATGTAAGCGCGGACCGAGATGAACGTTTTGCCGACCGGTAACTTATTTCGCGAACAACAAAATGGTAGCAACAATGCATGTTTTAAGTGGAAAGTGCCTTTGGAGGATTATTGGCAACAAACACGTGGCGAGATGGATGAGTATTTGCAGAAAGAAACGAAAAAATCGGATAAGTCGGAAAATTCGGAAAATTCTCAAAAGTCGGAAATATCGGAAACATCTGATCGGCCTATTCAAATGGAGGTCATGCTTTGGTCTCCATCCCCGCAAACTGTACCAGTGTCCTTCCCAGAGCCCCTCTCAGTGTCTGACGATTGGCGCTCGCTTCCCACGCCCGCTCCGCTAGGGTCTCCATCAGAGTGTGTGCCAGAATCTGACCCGGAATATGTCAAAGAGTCTCAACCGAAGTTTTTGCCACAGTCTCACCGCGAGTTTGTACCACAGTCTCACTCCGAGTTTGTACAACAGTCTCACTCAGAATATGACTCAGAGTCTCAACCGGAGTTTGCCTCAGAATCTAACATAGAGTTTTCATCAGAGTCTCGCTCAGAATTTATGCCAGAGTCTCACACAGAATTTGCAGAATTTCCACCAGAATCTCACACAGAATATGCGCCAGAGTCTAGCACTGAGTTTTCATCAGAGTCTCAACCTCAATTTGCGCCAGCATCTCACTCGGAGTTTGTGTCAGAGTCTCACCCTCAATTTGCGCCAGAGTCTCACACAGGATATGCACCAGAGTCTCAATTAGAGTTTTTGTCAGAATCGCACACAACGTTTGCAGAAATACCGCCAGAGTCTCACACAGAGTTTGCAGAATTTCCACCAGGGTCGCAAACAGAATATGCATCAGAGTCTCATTCAGAGTTTGCGTCGGAGTCTCAACCACAATTTGTGCAGGTATCTCAAACAGAATATGCATCAGAGTCTCACACAGAATATGCATCAGAGTCTCACACAAAATATGCATCAGAGCCTCATACAGAGTTTGCAGAAATTCCGCCAGAGTCTCACACAGAGTTTGCGGAAATTCCACCAGAGTCTCACTCAGAGTTTGCAGAATTTTCAACAGAGTCTCAAAATGAATATGCATCAGAGTCTCACGCAGAGTATGCGCCAGAGTCCCACACAGAATATGCATCAGAGTCTCACACAGAGTTTGCAGAGATTCCGCCAGAATCTCACACAGAGTTTGCTGAAATTCCGCCAGAGTCCCATACAGAATATACATCAGAGCCTCACACTGAGTTTGCAGAAATTCCGCCAGAGTCTCACACAGAGTTTGCAGAGATTCCGCCAGAATCTCACACAGAGTTTGCTGAAATTCCGCCAGAGTCGCATACAGAATATACATCAGAGCCTCACACTGAGTTTGCAGAAATTCCGCCAGCGTCTCACACAGAGTTTACAGAAATTCCGCCAGACTCTCATACTGAGTTTGCAGAAATTCCGCCAGAGTCTCACACAAAATATACGCCAGAGTCTCACAAAGAGTTTGTGGAAATTCCACCAGAGTCTCACACAGAGTTTACGGAAATCCCACCAGAGTCCCACACAGATTATACATCAGAGTCTCACACAGAGTTTGCGGAAATTCCGCCAGAGTCTCACACAGAGTTCGCAGAAATTCCGCCAGAGCCTCACACAGAGTTTGCGGAAATACCGCCAGAGTCCCACACAAAGTTTGCAGAAATTCCGCCAGAATCTCAATCCGGGTTTGCAGAAATGCCGCCAGAGTCTCAAACAGGGTTTGCAGAAATTCCGCCAGAGTCGCACACAGAGTTTTCAGAAATTCCGCCAGAGTCTCACATAGAGTTTGCAGAAATACCACCAGATTCTCATACTGAGTTTACAGAAATGGAGCAAGAGTCTCCCACAGAGTTTGCAGATATTCCATCAGTGGCTCCTACAGAGTTTGCAGATATACCATCAGTAGCTCTCACAGAGTTTGCAGATATTCCACCAGAGTCTCCCACAGACTTTGCAGACATTCCATCAGTGGCTCTAAGAGAGTTTGCTGATATGCCACCAGAGTCGCCCACAGAGTTTACAGATATGCCTCCAGAGTCTCCCACAGAATTTGCAAACATTCCATCAGTGGCTCTCACAGAGTTTTCAGATATTCCACCAGAGTCTCCCACAGACTTTGCAGACATTCCATCAGTGGCTCTAAGAGAGTTTGCAGATATGCCACCAGATTCTCCTACAGAGTTTGCAGATATGCCACCAGAGTCTCCCACAGAGTTTTCAGATGTACCACCAGATTCTCCCACAGAGTTTGCAGACATTCCATCAGTGGCTCTCACAGAGTTTTCAGATATTCCACCACAGTCTCCCACAGAGCTTGCAGAAATTACACCTGAGTCTCTAACCGAGTTTGAAGAAAATTCGCAAGAGTCTCACACAGAGTATCCAGATATTCCATCAGTGGCTCTCACGGAGTTTTCAGATATTCCACCAGAGTCTCCTACAGAGCTTGCAGAAATTACACCTGAGTCTCTAACTGAGTTTGAAGAAAATTCGCAAGAGTCTAACATAGAAATTGATGACGATGGATTCCGGCGTCCCGCTCCGCCCCCTGTGCCTGATTCGCCGCCAGAATCTCCACTGGAGCCTTCGTTAAAGATTCCGTTACCGATAGCATCTCCGTTTATCTTACCCCTATACTCTCCGCTAGGAGTTTCGTCAGAATCTCACTCAGATTTTGCAGATATTGAAACAGATTCTCAAACAGAGTTTGCATCAAAATCTCGCTCAGAAATTGCAACAAAGTCTCACTCAGAAAATGCACCAGAGTCTCACTCAGAGTTTGATGCCGACGGATTTCGGCGTCCTGCACCACCCCCTGTGCCTGATTCACCGCCAGAATCCCCAATAGAGCCTTCACTAGATATTCCGATAGAGTCTCCGCTTATCTTTCCTCTGTATTCTCCGCTGGGGGTTCCAGTAGAGTCGATACCATCGCCACCGCCAGTCATTGAAGTTTCCAGCGATATTTCGAAAAACGTGACTCTTTTTAAGGACGGGCAAAGTGAAACATTATGCGACTCTGACGACATAATAATAGAACAAATAGATGAGATGGAACAAATGGAAGAGGCTGCCAAATCTGCTAAATCCACTAACTTTACAAATTTTGTCAAGCCTGTCAAACCTGCCAAAATATCTAAGACTGTCAAGGCTGCCAAGTCTGCCAAGTCCGCCAAGTCTGACAAATCTGCGAAGTCTGACAAATCTGCGAAGCCTGACAAATCTGCGAAGTCTGATAAGTCACACAAGCCAGTGCCAGTGCTTCAGGCCCATCGTAAGGAGCAGGTAGCTAAGACATACGCTCACATGTTTGTCGCGGACTCCTTCCGTCGATTGCACCGTTGTGAAATAGGATCTTGCGACAAGATTTTCACCAAAGGCTCGCATTTAAAAGCACATATGCGATCACATACTGGCGAAAGACCGTACAAGTGTACTTGGGAGGGTTGTGATTGGAGCTTCGGAAGGCCTGATGAGCTGACAAGACATATCCGTAAACACACGGGGGCCAAGCCGTTCACCTGCCGTCGCTGCAACCAGTCCTTCTCCCGCTCGGATCATCTCGCTTTGCATATAAAGCGTCATAAGCACCCCACCGTAACACCCACCCCGCTAACTAAACGTACCTAAACCGCACGCGTATGTACGTATGTTATCGTGATTGTAAATATGTGATTTAGTTTATAAATGTCTGATTGTTTAAATTAATTTAGAATTGAACACTTCCTGACTGAGTAAGTAGAAAATATAAAATACTTTTTTAATAGCCTATTGTAAAAAAAAATGTGATTCTGTTGTTAGGCTGTGAATTGTGAAAGTGAAGTTTAAAATAATACGCGCTTATGGTTGCTAAATCAAGACACTAAAAGTCCGCAGAAACATCTTTGAATTTTTCATCGAAATATCTGTATTTCGATATTTATATCAAGTCATTATGTATCGCGCGAATCAAACAAACAGTTTCTATCAAATACGCGTGCCCGCGTACTTGAATCAACTTTGTACTAATCCGATTCTATTTTTATTTATAAAAGAAATTTCCATACATTTTCAACAAACACTTTATATTTTCGGTCTTGTTAGGAAAATTACGGGCGTAAAACAATAAAATTGGTAGAATGATTTTACAATTTTATTTTAAATATACTATTTTGGTATTAAGGTATGGCAACCCTGTGCGCGATGCTTCATACAGCATCGAACGAGTGAATGAATGAATACCATCTCGTTCATAGCTGACTGCCTAGTCTAGTCAATACTAATTATTGCTTATACATAATGTTTTATAGTTCTAATTTTTAAGTCTATCGAGTTTTTTTTTTGAAGTATTATAAAGTTATACACTGTTTTTTTAACTTTGTAGACATTTTATTAGGGAAAATATTTAATGTTTCAACAATATTGTTACCGTTTTTTGTTGCTAGGAGAACCTAAGATTTATGATTGTTATGTGCCAAATATTTTTTTATTATTGTCTAGGTAATTGTTGCGTACTGCATTGTTTTGTGATGGTATCATTGTTAATTATTGTTGTTTAGACAAGTGTTAAGTTCTTCCTGTTTTATATGATAGTACGGACTCTACAATAATGTTCGGTGTATGGGAATGGGCTTACTTAAAATACACAATTAATTTCAAAATAATAAAAATATTAATTATTATTTGTAAGTTATGTAAAAATCCCGTTTTCAAAGTTTGCCTATTTCCGTACACTGGGTATAATTTTAGATTCCGTATTTTCCGAATTTTATAATTAGGTATAATCATTATTATGGTACTAAAAATATTGTGTTCGAACTGACTATCAATTTTTTAATCTGTTCTTCCACTAACGAAGTCATTAGGACGCTTTTTTTTAAACTTCGAGGCGAACGCTCAAAAATTTTTATTACGTAATAATTTTTAGGTTATTTTTGTCTAAATGACATATCAATGTCTTGGCGGGAAAACGTCATCAAAGTCCCTGTCATTATCTGTGGTTAGACATTTTAAATGAGACTATAAAATAAATCCTTTTTTAATCTTAATTGAGGCTGTAATCTGTAAAATTTAAGATTTTTTGTCCAAAATGTGACATCAAGTTTTGATAGATACGTAGGTAATAAAATATTAAAGTATCCTTGTAGATATGTGTTAGTACAATAAGCTACCTTATCGTATATGAATAAAGACTATTATCAAATGAAGCACGAAGTATATTTTGTAATGCTGCTGTCTACACGTCAAATATGTATTTTAAAATTTTAACATTCCATTTGATGTATTTTTTTTGTGTTTTTAAACGGTTCCATTAACCTTGCCCCGTTTGTTTGTCCTAGGACAAATCTAGTAATTGGAAGTTCATGGCGATATATTGATCTGATATTTGGTACACACTCTTAATCTTGATGACCATACAATATTACCCTTTTTTCCACAACTATCTCCATTATGGATAAAAGGGCTTGATTGGTAGAATAGAGCTCATTGTAATAACATAATTAATATTATGTATATGTATCTAAGTACGTACTTGTTTGACAGTTTTTTTTTTAAAGAAACTGCACTATGGTTAGAGGTTTTTATAGGAAAGATTTTTGTATTTTTTTTTATTCAAAAGTAAGGTTGTACTTTGCCGACTTGTTATTAGATCTCCAGAAATTCAGTAACATGTATTTTATAGATACTAGACTTAAGTAGATAAATATTTTTAAATTATGTAACAGTTTTTTTGTCTGATTTTTTTTTTTAAGGTTTTTCTAATTTGATTATAACGATATTTTTGCAGTTCTTTTTTTGTTTTGAATTTTTAACGATTTTGTAACGAAATTGAATTAGTTTTTAGACAGTATCTGAACCTATTTTTACGACTTAAATCATGTACTTAGGTATTTATATTGTAAAAGATCTTAAAATAACAGTATTAAATTTATCGAATTGTCTGTACTATTGGCTCAGTGGCTGGGTGACTGGTTGCTGAGCTAGAAGTCGCGGGTTCGATTCCCGGACGGAACAATTTTTTGTGTGTTCCAATATTTTTGTATAACAATGGTGCTACACAAATTGTTATTCCGAGTTTGGGTGTGATAATATAATATGATAACATGTAAATTATATGTACTAGAAAAAAAAAACTTACCTACGATACGATACAGGAAAAAATCCTAGTATCCCAAAACATTTTTAATAAAAAAAAAGATTGTAATAGAAAACCTGGTTTCATTATTTTACGAAACGTTTTCCTTGAACTTAGACACGTTTTACATAACCAACATATCATGGCCTCGCTTTGTATGATTTTTCTATAAATTTGAAGGTCAGTTAATACTGTTTATTCTGATGCTTGGAGCTATGATAACCAGTATATCTTGGTCTAGCATTATATGATCTTTGTATAAACTCGAAGGTCAGTTTATACTGGTTAGTCTAACTTGATGCTTGGAGCTATTTTACCAGATAATCTTGGTCTAGCTTTGTATAACCTATCCATACATTTGAAGGTCAGTTTTTATTGGTTACATTGGATTGATGCTTGGACTTAGGAGCTATACAAAACCAGATAATCTTGGTCTAGCTTTGTATGACCTATCCATACCTTTGAATGTCAGTTTAAACTGGTTACATTGGATTGAAGCTTGGACCTATACAAATCCAGTATATATTGGTCTAGCTTTGTATGATCTTTGTATATATTCGAAGGTCAGTTAATACTGGTTAATCAGTTTGATGAAATAAAATAATACTCTTGCTGTTTATTGCCTGCATGGAACCACTTTTACTACACAGAGACATTCAGTGATTACTTCAACTAGTCTATTCACGTAATATCATGCCTTTTATCCTCGAAGGGGTAGGCAGAGGTGTACATTACGGCGCTTAAATGCCACTGTACAGTCTACAGTCAGAGTCCCATGTAATAGGGGCGAGTGCGACTGTCATGGGTCTCGGGTTCGGTTCCCGGGTCGGACAAAGTACTACTGGGTTTTTTCCAAAAGGGTACTTTCCCAATTAACATCGATGCAGACGTATTTTTTAATGCTCTTTGTAATTAGATTTTTTTAGTTTTCTTTTATTTATTTTTTCTTTTAGTTTTAGTTACTCTTAGATAATATGTAGTAAGTATTTATTTTATTTAAGTTTATATTATTCGTAAATAAATGTTCTTATGTAGGTATGCGTGATATAGAAGGAGGATAATCCACGCGAGCAACGCCACAGATAAAATATAGTTTACAATAAATAAGCGATGAATGATTGCAATTTACAAGAAGCACCCTTCACCAACCATATTCACACTCGATGATAAAAAAAAACAAACGCCGGTCACCATTTTTGTACAAGAAACGTAATCGAACCTCTTTGTTAGGGACAATACCGGTAAACAAGCAAAAGGATCACCTAAGTTCCTAACTTGCTAAATTCATAATAGCCAATCATTGATCGGTCACTGGAATTGGGTAGGTAGGTACTTTTGACGCTAAAAAATCGTGACGTCACAATACACAATCTCGTACAAAATTCGTATAAAACTGTCGTTTTTGACAGTTCGAAAAAAGTATTGAATTTGACTAGTTGGCAAGTACCCAATCAATAGTAGTAGAATAACATTGCCATATTGCCATTATTAGGTATAAAACTTTATAATAGAAATAATTTATTTTGTAATACGATATGGATAGTAAAAAGAAGTGTGCACTTCTGTTATTGCTTAGGAGATACAGGAAAAAGAAACAAAGAAGATTTTGGGAAGATAAGATTTTGATGCGCGATGCGAATCAATTCGCAAGTTGTTACGATGCGTAGAGGGAGCTCGAACATTATTGCGATGCGACGTCGCATCGCACTTTTGTGTACGAGCCCTTAAATATGAACCTCATATTAGAATAGGCTTACAATAGTAGATATCTTGGTGTTTTTTTTTTTTTAAGGGAGAAAATCATCGAATGACTGCTCCCGCCTGGGTGAGGCGGGAGGGAGTGTCAGACTCTTCCTGACTAAAAACCACCCCGTTCCTTCTCCTGCATGTCGAGCCGGAGCCCCGGTTACCCGTTAGGTTCTCCGCGACTCCGAATCGGCATCGGCTCTATTGGGCCCCATCTGTGGTGGTCTGATGGCTCTTTGACGCGCGCGCGGAACGCGACGCGTCGTACGCTCGGGTTTGTTTCTGGTCGGACGGGGAGCCACCCATGCTCGCCGTCCGCAGGCCCGCGCAGATATCTTGGTGTAACGTATAATATTGGAACTAGCCTCTTCTTCAGCGAACACAAAATGTGTTAAACCTAATAAAAATTTCTAATACGCATATCCGTTCCTTAACGATTGTCTCTTGCATAAATCATTATGAATTATTATTATTATCTGAGTAAGCTATATTAAATAGTGCTATGAGTACAGAGTCGTATTATCCTTCAGGCAAACTAGACGAGTGCCTAGGGCGCCAGGTTACCGACGGGCGCCGCGAGACGTGTGTGTGGGACAGCCATGCTTCGGCACGAATGGGCCGGCTCGACCGGAGTTATACCACGGCTGAGTAGAAAACCGGCGTGAAACAACGTTTGCGTTGTGTTTTGTCGTGTAAGTAAGTTTACCGGAGACCTAATTACGACCCCTCCCCTCTCCAATCCCTGAATCCTCAAATTTCTAATCCTAAAAGGCCAGTAACGCACTTGTAACGCCTTCGGTGTTCCAGGTGTCCATAGCCGACACCGATTGCTTACCATTAGGTGATTCGTCTGCTCGTTTACCGGCTTATTCCATAAAAAAGACGCGTGTGCCCATAGAGGGACGACAGCGCCAAAAAAATTAGTAGTCCCAGTTAGGTCTTTCCTTAGGACGCTCTCTACGTTAATATTACGTAAATTCGCCAATGCATAATTAATAATGCATAATAACTACCATTTCATAGCACAAATTCTACAGAGACGGTCATAATGAGAAGTTAATTTTTATGAATTTTTTTTAAGGGGGAAAATCATCCAATGACTTTTCCCGACCGGATGAGGCGAGAGGTGTCAGACTCTTACCGACTAAATTATATCACCCCGTTCCTATTCCGCGGCTTCGTATCGGTATCAACTAATCTTTACGTTCTTGATGAGGACCACAGAAATTACTTTATAGGTCAATTGTGCCTTAAACATGTTCTTTATTTATGAAAAAAAAATGGATACTTAATAAGATTAGTGATTTCATAGGTGAACTGATAAGTCAAAGATCTATTAGTTTTTTATAAGCATTTGATTTGTATAACTTCCGGTTTTCATTTTAGTCTTCCACGTAACTCGATGTTCTGCTCAAGACTAGATGACGATGGTGCAGGTAAGCATATTATGTTCAAGTGCATCTTAACGGCTTATGAGTATTAATGATAATTTTCTGTACCTACTATAAGTTGTGTACCATGTGTATAAAATAAATAAGCAATGTGTGTCTCTTTGCTTGACTTCTCAAATAGTGTAGTGATTCAGAGTGCAAAATTCCTCATACCCATGTGTAAAAAACACAAAAAAAAACAAAACAAAACCCAAAAACCAATTCGAAATTCAAAAACACAAACTCCCGCCTCCCGCCTCCCAGATGTCAAACGTCAAACGAAAACCCTTTGTCCATGTAATTTAAAAATGGAACTAACCTCCTATCGCATCGGCAATGAGATATTGTATAGGGCCTATAGTTGAAGTAGCCGAATCGTCGTCTGAACATTCCTATGTTGAGTCGGCAGTGGTCGTGGGCTCTACAACATCGGTCCTCCTTAGCATCAAGTCCCAATTCGCCATATTTCGCAGCAATATGGCCAGCGCCACACCATTTCGTTCCAGGCACAATGAAATTCTCCCTGAACGATCTTCGTGACCTGTTTTTAGTTTTTTAATCTGTTAATTTTTGTTGTTTAGCGATATTCTGGTCAAATATTAATGTTACAATTTTAAAAAATAAATCATGAAATTAAAAAGTTCCCGCTAAATTAAAGAAAAAAAAATAAAACAATAAAAATAAAAAGTAAAATGAATATTTGACCTAAAGGCTTTTGAGAATAAACTTAAAATTAATATAAATGTATAGTGTGTCCATTAGTAATGGTTTTCAATGGCAATGGATGGTGAAAGTGGAATGTATAATTACTGAGTGAAGTATGTATTAAAATTACAAGAACAAATGATCAGTTTTAGTACGGTGGCTAGCAGATCAAACTATCCTTTCTAGTCAAATTTCTCTATTACATCTTCAACTTTACTATGTATTGACATAAAGTCGAAAATTCAATGAATAAATTTGACAGATTCGAGTACATTGATCTGCTGGCGAGTGTAGAAATTGGTCATTACTGAATTATGACATTCTCTACAATAATTGATTAAAATAATTACAGAGATTTTGTTTGTTAGATTCTTAGTATTTGTACATTAAAATAAATTAATGTCCGTCTGGTAGATTATTTAAAAACATTAGACACGTACTTATTTTTTCTATTCTCACACTATTGAATACTTTCGACGATATCTTGATATAAAAATATAAAAATATTGATAATTGATTTGAAATACCGTGTGACGTCACCACCTACTCCTAAACTTTACTCCATTTTATCTAAGTATTGTTTTCTTTTAGGAAAAAATAAAAAAATACGTGTGTTATACAGTGAAACCTGGTTAAGTGAGACATCAAGGGACCTGCAATGTCGTTTTATAAATAAATATCTGTCTCATTTACAGAGGGTTCCATTAATAGAGGTGAACTTGGAATTACGTGTGGAATTTGTGGGTAGAATAAGAATGAGTAAACAAACAATGTTATTTCAGTTACAGAGGTTTATGCATATAAAATTTATTCGCTGTCTCAGTTATAGAGGTAACTATGATGATAAATCGAAAGAATAAATCCCAGATATAGAGGTTTACCTTGTCCCACTAACAGAGGTAATTCAGTGCCAAAGTGTTGGGACCTCAGCATGAGTTCCAGTTATGGAGGTTTCTCACTTATCCAGGTCCCACTTAACCAAGTTTCACTGTATTTGTTTCATTATCTAACTGACGGACTAATTAGTTTTTTAATATTCATACCCTGGCAACTACTCTATTATCTATAAGTAAACAAAAATGAACCCAATACTTCTTGTACCTAGCAGATTTGTCTAACTTGAAATATTGGTAGATCTGACCATTATTGTACAGATATTATTAGTTACAAAATGTACTATGAAATGTGTGTGAAATTATGGCTGAGTATGTCGTATTATTTTGATGGAATATGACTATACATTTATAGTTATGACGCATTAAAAACATTTCATTCTACAGACATTCGATTAATTACTAAGAATGGAGTTTAGTTAACGTTGGATTTAGCAAGAATACATTTGGAACAAGAAGCGAGAGTCCCATTTTAAGATATTCTGAGTGTGAAATACAAGGCGTAGTTCTGTCTACGTGTAAAAAAGTTAAGTAGGTATACATACGTTGGTGCCAAAATGCTAGTATCTAAATACAAGTCGAAAAAAGTGAAGAGGTCAGACGATGGACTGGCTGTGTAGAATACGAAGTTCGAAATTTGAATTTTTGTAATGGTATACGATAAGAGATGAGTGTCGTGCTTGCATTCCATATTTAAATGTCTCGAATTGTTGCCAGACGTAAGCTTAAATTATTGCTAACAATTCAAAACATATAAATATAATATTCCCCCATAAAAAGCAGTAACATGTGTTGAAAAATAAAATTTATTTGACATACATACATACTCCTTGTTTAAAATTGTCACATTTTAAACTAGGAACACGATTCGATCTGTCAAATCTATTTTAATTTCCTAAAAGTCATTTTGCTTGGTAAAAATATAACAACTACCTAGATAGAGAGCTTTCTCCAGCTTTATTTCTGTTCTCCATCATATATTGTAGCTCTTCATGCCTCTTCAAGCACTCCATTTTCAAATTATCATAATCAAACCATTTTGATATATTTGGCGGCAAATGGTGGCCATCTTTGATTATTCTAAAAGTGACGTTTCGGAAATGGCGGTAAAATTTTTCATCTTCGATATTTTGCTGTTGTTTATTCGCTATTCTATATATTTCTTCGTCTAGAGCTAGTTTTAATTCTTTTCTTAATGTTTTTAAGAAGTTTCTCGCTGATTTTCCTTGTGATATGAATTCACAATCTTGTATTTGTCCGTCTTGGTTGTAGATTACTTGGACAAGATGTCTGCCGTCTGTTAGCTGTCTTAGCTTCAGGCCGAGGCTGCAACAAAGAGAAAAAGGTTACATTAGAACACATTGCTATTTATTTTTATAATGGTAAAATTTTTGCGTATTGGAGTTCCATTTTAAAATGGACGATCGTAGATTAACACTTAAAATAAGTAAGTAGTCGTATTGTAACTTTCTTGAGACATCAATACATAGTATAAAACAAAGTCGCTTTCGCTGTATGTCCGTATGTATGCTTAGATCTTTAAAACTACGCAACGGATTTTGATGCGGTTTTTTTAAATAGATAGAATGATTCTTAAGGAAGATTTGTATGTATAATACATGCATATTGCACCCGTGCGAAGCCGGGGCGGGTCGCTAGTACTAAATAAATTACTATGTTTTCGGCTTACTCACGTAATAATTTGACGAGGAACTCGACTAGTTTCCAGCCATGCTAGAGGCTCATATTCATGAGCAGCATTTCGCGACCCGCTACTCGGCGACTGTCGCGCTACTACTTGAAACTAGTCGAGTTCCTCGTCAAATTATTATGCGAGTAAGCCGAAAACATAAGTAAGTAGTTGCTGTAACAAGATAAAAACACGAGGTTCAATTCTAGAGTTTAATTTTGCGCGACCTTTCGATTCACTCGAAGTCACTTTGTGGGATCCAAGTGATGGTGAAAGGAGGCAAGTAAAATGTCATCTATCTGACTTTATGACCATACTGGAGTAAAGTTCCACAAGACAGGGTGCAATGGAAGGAGTTGGAGGAGGATGCCAAGACGCACACCGAGCTTAGGAATATCGCTTAAATGTAAAGAATACAACGCTTGCGTTGTGTTTCGTCGTGTTAGTGAGTGAGGTTACCAGAGGCCCAATTACCCCCTCTCTAGTCCCCGTCTCCCAAATCCCCGAATCCTCCACAATCTTCAAATTCCCAATTCCCAAAAGGCCGGTAACGCACTTGTAACGCCTTGGTGTTTCGATTGTCCATCGGCGGCGCCGATTGCTTACCATCAGATCATTCGTCTGCTCGTTTACCGGCTTATGCTATAAAAAACTGTAATAACTGTAAACTCGGAAATAGAGGCTATTGTTATTAACATTCGATTATACCAGACTTTACTTACTCCGATTCCATCACATTCATGCATCCATACAAGTAAACTAATTAAGAATAGATACTCTGCACGGTCCTGCATGATAATATTTAAGGCAATGTATGAAAGTATGTTTTTTACTCTTTCATTTAAAAACAACTGAACGGATTTCAACGAAATTCGGCACAAGAATAGATTGAAGTCTGGAATAACCCATGAAGCACTTTATGTCTCAGTGCATGCAAAGCCAGCAGAAGTGAGTTTAATAAAACAACGATTGGATTTATGTGTGTAATTTCCTATGGAAGTGAAACGTCGTTATATTTTATCTGTGATTATTTCCAGTTGATTATAGTCTTATAGACACTGGTCGGCCATGTTTAATTAACAAAGATGCCGTTAAATTAATATATGTTTGGAGATAATTGACAGTTTTAATCGTTTCTGAAGGTATATACGATTACAGTTCAAGCTATGCAGAACCAGTATAAACTGCTCGTTGAATATTCGGAAAAATAATTCAAAGGTAGATCGTGATAAAATGGGTTTTTATACCTTTACTAGCTGGGGTGCGGTGCCAGAAGACCCTCCCGTGGTGCACCCTAGGTACAGGTGATAGTCTCCCTAACGGGAGTGATAGGGTTTTTTTTAAGGGAGAAAATCATCGAATGACTGCTCCCGCCTGGGTGAGGCTGGAGGGAGTGTTCTGACACTCTTACTGACTAAAAACCACCCCGTTCCTTCTCCTGCACGTCGAGCCGGAGCCCCGGTAACCCGTTAGGTTAATTTTATATAGTTTATGATTTTTAGTATAGGTAATTTTTTATCCCAAAAATAATTAAAACTACGCAAATTATTGTCATATTAACCCTGTATTGTTAAAACAAATCGAAATGGACCGTAAGTCAAAGCAATAAGACTTTTAAAATCGCAGTTTTATTTGTATTCATACAAATTCTATCATTCAATACAAAATAAAGAAAAATAAACCTTATGACAAGACCAGTAAGGATGCATATACATGTTAAATTAAAAATTTAGTGTATGTATTATGATTATAACATAATATTCTAATTGGGGTGTTTGAGGGTGTGCGTTAATTACGTTACATGTTGTATATAACCTAGCATGTGTGTCGTAATGTTGTTCAAAATTCGCTCATTTCACGCATGTTTGCGAATCGACAGGCGTTCGAATTTTAAACATTTTTGAGCATGCTCAATAGAACAACTTTTAGCATGCTATTTTAGAGCATATTATATATCTCACAGAATCTTCTGTAATATCTTTATCAGTTACCCCTCGTTAAATAAATAGCGTGATGCATTACTATAATACAATAAGCATCGCATACCAGGCGCGCAGTGTTACGTCATAATTTCCACAAAAAAAATGAATTCTACACAGATCCATAGACACCAAACTAGATTATAATAACTATATAGAGGGGATGCAGAGTGGCTATTAGTCTATGGTCCCTGGGGATGACAGGGTAGGGGACGAGATGGTCGATGATGTAAAATATTGTCAATGATTTGTTTCGCATATTTTATTATTATATATTAACCGCGAATTTTTATTTTGAAGGGGAATTATTTTCATTTCATTTATCAATAAGATTTTGTTTTGGTTTTTGCATGCATTTTGTGCTTCGTTTATTTACTACTAGCTTTTACCCGCGGCTTCGCTCGCGTCACAAAAGGATAAAAAGTAGCCTATGTGACATATATACCAATACATACAGCGCCATCTATGCCAATACTTTTGTTTTCCCTCGGAAATATCTAATTTTTCCGGGATAAAAAGTACCCTATTATTTAATCCAGACTTCTAACTTTACGTCTGCAAAAATTCAAAGCAATCGGTTTAGTAGTTACGGCGTGAAATCGGAACAAACAAACAAACAATCAAACTTTCCGATTTATAAATAAGTAAGGAGTAAGGAGTAAGGAGTAAGGAGTAAGGAGTAAGGAGTAAGGAGTAAGGATAAGGATGTTGACAGCGAAGCAAAGGGTGTTGAGTAAATTCTCGAGTTGGACATCCTATTTAGATTTTTGAAGCATCTGGAATTAGAATTGTTTCGAAAATTGCAGGGCTTTTTAAATTATATACCTATATATGGTTTAAAAATCTCCTACAGGAAACGGGTTCGCTTACACTGTTTTGATTCTTTCCTCAAAAGGCCACTACAGAATAAACTTGCTCGGTTCTCACACATTGTAACAGAGGTCTTAGTACGAGTTTGATTTACGTTTATAGTATTCGAAATGAGTAGTCGTTTCGATTAGTTTTTTTAACGTAAAAGAAACTGGTACTAAGGCCTCTGATTACGGCTGGATGTTTCTACAACGAATTAAAAAATCTAGAAGATTGGCGGGAACGCGGAGCGTCTTCGAAATTCGAACACGCTCATTCACTCAACGTTTCAACGGCGAATCTTAGCGCGAGCGCGGAGCCCACTCGAGCGAGGCGTGGGCTTCGAATTTTGAATTTTACCGCGAACACGAATTCACTACGTTACCACCATTTTTCTTATCCTGCTACAAAGGAGGTTTTTAAGTAATTATGTTGCCTACACACATAATCTTTTATCTACATATTTGTCTGGACTTAAAAAGAGACAGAACTCTGAGTTTGTTTCGGGACTAGCTACTTCCGCGCGGTTTCACTCGCTCTGCTCAACTCCTATTGGTCGTAGTGTGATGTTTTGTAGCCTATAGCCATCCTCAATAAATGCGCTATCCAACACAAAAAGAATTATTCAAATCAGACTTTTAGTTACGGAGATTAGTGCGTTCAAACAAACAAACAAACTCTTCCGCTTTATATAATAGTATAAGATTTCTTCTCAGAGTAGTCAGTTAGGAAATGTCGGCCTCATCGTTCGCTTGATAAAATTGACGTGTAAAAGTGCTGCCTTGTAGCCTATTTACAGAAATAAATTCACTTGTTTTAACAATAACCTTGATTAATTACAAAAATACTAATTAATACTAAATGCAATGAGGTTAAAAAATTACATAGCGATTTAACATATAACATAGTATATTGGATATTATAGCTTATTTGATCACCACTGTAAGTTCTATCACTACAAAGTATAAAACAAAGTATCTATCCGCCGTCTGTCTGTCCCTATGTATGCTTAGATCTTTAAAACTGCGCAACGGATTTTGATGCGGTCTTTTTTAATAGATAGAGTGATTCGGAAGGTTTATAATATACATACATAACATCACGCCTTTTATCTCCGAAGGGGTAGGCAGAGGTGCACATTACGGCACTTAATGCCACTGTACAATGTAACACCCACTTTTCACTATTTATGATAAGAGTCCCATGTAATAGGGGGTGAGCTTATTGCCATATACCGGACACAATTCCAGACTCCGTGCTACTACTGAGAATTTTTAAAGAAGTTTATATTTTTTTTATAGGAAAAGCCCGCCACAACCTCCCAAAACCGCTGCAACTCCTGTAAGCCAGGATCTACAGTATATGTATAGAAAGAAGTTTATATGTATAATAAATATAATATGCATACTGCACCCGTGCGAAGCCGGAGCGGGTCGCTAGTAATATACACACAATATGACCCCACAACACTACCCAACGCGAGCATCAAACCCGCGACCCCTAGCTCCGCACCCTACCCACAAATATAACGTTTCACTTCAAAGTAATTCCCCGATGACATACAATTAATGTCGATAGCTTACAAATTGATATTTATTGCACTTTAGGTGTACTTGATGGGCCATTTTGAACTTAATTCAATTATTTACATTCTTAATCCCCGATTGTGAAAAATCTACAACATTTGTTCGAACAAAAGTAGTCTCTAAATATCGGAAATAAGGTCTATAATGGAGTTATTTGGAGAGCGGTCACCGGGGACTGGGCAGTTAATGTTGTGATTTTACGGATTTGTATTGTAAAATATT